GGAAATCATCGCCAGTACGCACCCACAGTCAGGGTTCGAACCCAGGACCTTCCGGTTACAAGGCAATCTCGTATACCATTCAGCCACTGCTGACTTGCTACAGGATGGAGTTTCTTGGAGTTCTAGTGAGAAGTCGTGACCAGTGAGGTTCAACCAGATGTCACGTGTGAGGAGTCGCGCTAAATCACGAATTGGTAGAAGTTAGAATTCATGGGCCATCGAGGAATCGGGTCCCAGTGGCTGAATGGTATACGAGCTTGCCTTGTAACCGGAAGGTCCTGGGTTCGAACCCTGGGTGTGGGTACGTGCTGCCGATGATTCCCAAACTAGGATGAAACAGATGTCCAGTACTCCCTGGTTTTCAATGGTTCTCTTACTGATATCAATCCGTGATCAACTCGTAAAAATCTACAATAATAATTATCCTCAGTAAATTTGCTGACATTTTGTGTCGTCCTCTCACTGGTATTTTTCAATGAATCATTTTCCAGTAACACTGTGCCCGCTTCTTGGAATGACATTAATATTGTTCCTGTGCCTAAATCATCAAGTGGACAAACTGTTAAGTTCAGACCTATTGCCATTACTTCACTTTTTTTTAAATAATAGAAAGACTGCTTTTACTTGAACTTGAACCTTCATTGAAGGCTTTTAACGACCCTAATCAATTTGCTTATAAACATAGTAGGTGTACTTGAGATGCCACTGTCGTCTTATATCATAATATTGTCTCTAGCTTAGATAGAGGTGCCTTCATAGATTACACATTTGCCTTCGATTATGTACCTAGGCCTCTTTTGTCAAACAAGCTTACTACGTCACAAGCACAGTATCGGTTTACCAAGTGGCAGCAGTCCTATTTTTCTGATAGAAAGCAGTACACTGTTTACAGTGGGAAGTCCTACACTGCCACACTCTAGCTGGTGTTCCTCGGGGAGCTGTTCTCTCTTCCTTTCTGTTTTCCTTCTTCTTACATGACTTGCCCCATTCTGACGAAGCCAATTTTGTTAAGTATGTCGATAATCTGATTTTTTCTATGTCGCTTACTTCTCAGTCAAACTGTTCCAAAATTAATAACTTTTATCCCTGAGCACAAATGGTCTTAACCTTAATCGCTCTAAACGTCAGGGGGTTAATTTCACTTTCAGAAGCAACAACGACTTACGTGAACTGGTTAGTTCTCATGGTTCCACTATCATATATGACACTGGAGTTGAAACCAAATCGAATGTTAAATACCCTGGACTGTGTATTTCCTCTGATCACCTTTCCTGGTCTTCCCACATCATGTTAGTTTCCAGAAAGATATTTTATTTGATGTTCTAAGTAAGGAAGTTAAGACGATCTGGTATCATTCCGTCTCTACTGTTACCGATTGTTAATTCTTATATTCTACCTATACTTATTTAATGTTCACATGTAATCTTTCCTAGGTTACTTAATAAAGATTTTGTTATACTGCATAGGGCGCTAAAATCTGTCAGTAGGGCTATTAGGGTGTTGTTAAACCAACTCGTTAAAGCTATTGTAGATAGACAGATGGATTCCTGCAAGAAATTGGCAAATATTATCCTGTTGGACTCTGAACATCCTCTCCATGCACAACTCTCTCCTTCCTGCATCTCATCGGGTAGAAGTAGAAGCGGCTTAGTACAAAAACTCTACAATACCTTATTTAGCACACACTTTATGTGATGAGAACAGCTTACTGAGGAACTCTAAGTATACGGCATTGTTTTTTGTTCTCATTATTACAATGTCACGAATATTTTCACTTGATTTAATTTTATATTCATTTCTTTTTGAACAATATTGATATTGTAAATGCCCTATTTTAATTATTGTCCCTGTAATGAGGAAATTATATGCAATATTGTATTACAAGCTGAAAATTCCATATTTGTACCTAAAGTACTGTTTGGAATAAAGCTATTATTATTGATGATTGTGAGATGGATAAATCTATGTTGACGGGTTTGTTACACTTGACTGGACTGTTTCAGTCCCGTGATTCTTAAAGGAAATAAATTGAATATTACCTATCTCGGTAATAGTTTCTCTGCTAATCTTCATCAGCCTTTTCATACCTTTCATTCGATTTGTTACATAAAGAAGTTGAGGCTTTGTGACATAACTGCATCTCTTCTCTTACAATTTATTAATCCATGTGTTCTACTAATTCTTCTTTATTATTCCCCACCGCGTCATTTTATTCCCTGGATTTCTTAAAAAAGACTGAGTCATATTACGTAGGATTTTAAACGCTGTAAGCGGGGTTAGTGTGGGGTATGCCATTCACCCAGATAGCTCACACTGTTGTTGGTAGGCACTTAAATTTTTGCGAACAGTTGACCAAGGTTATCTTGTCGGATATTGAATATCCTCTTTATTTGTAGTTTTCTTGTTGAATCTCTTCAGTTAACACTGGGAGAAATTTCATGAGAATTGATGCTTGTGTAGCCAAATAACAGGTGTGTTGTGTGAAGAGAAAAATGTCAGAAATGAACTCATAAACTTACTTAATAATCTGTAAATTCAACAGCAACTTACCCCTAGTATCATTATTACATATATATATATTAAACTTTTGTTAGCTTTAGGCTTTGGAGTTATTCAATTTGATTTTATTTGCATAAGAAGATAAATTGTTGTATTGCGTGTATGCCAAAAATTTATTCTGTATAATGTCTGAAATCAAGAAATCAATTATTTTCGTCTCTTGCGTTCCGAGTGGAACACAGAGCTTAAAGCTTTTTTTTGAAAGTTTCTGTAGCGTTGATGTTGAATTTACGGAGGCGGGGGGGGGGGAAGGGTTGCTAGTCTCACGGTCAGTTTCCCATCTTCTGGGTTTAACTATCTACTAGTAAACCAGACTAGAAGTCAGTTCTTCTATATGGGTCAGAAACTTCCACTGCACATTACGAAAAGCATTTCCAACAGGTTGTAGAATAACATCAACATATTGAAGATCGAATGGCCAGAAAGAAGTGGCAACAAGAAATTATGGCGACCAACCATTCAAGAGCTGATCGTTCAAAAATATGTAGGAGAACACCGTGGAATGACATTGCGGGCCTGGCCATTACTCGAGTAGAACCCGAATGGGAAACGATGAGTGGGTCGTCAGTTCTAGGGTGACATGCAGAAGGTTGTGAAAGGAGGAGGAGACGAGAGATTATGGGCTATCGTGGAGCCAGCCAGATGAAGGGGACAGCAGAAAATAGAAGAAAGTGAAAATGTGTTGTTGAAGCGGTATGTTCCACTCGGAACCCAAGGGAACAATAATTATAATAATTAGTAAACTAGACGAAGCACAGGAGTGTGTCGACCGGGGGTCAAGCCCAGACCACATGCATGTTTGATGCGAATCTTACCAATGAACCATCGATGCACACTAACCTCTATTTGTCTATTTGCAATCATTTTTTGTCCTAGTTATCCCAAGGGAAATATGTCTGGAATGTGAGCTGAAATAATTACCTGATTGGTTGGTGACTTGATTGTTCTGGGATCCAGTTATTAACAACATATTAGAATTAAAATATACTTTTGTTATGACAAGCGATTTATTTTGATATCTGACAATCACTCGTGAATGTTTCATCGTTCAGTAAATTTATTTAGTCGATTCTTCATTCCCTATAAGAAAAGTGTATGATAATCTTGAACTGAACAATAGTCAACTCTAATACTCATTCCGAGAGGATTTGTGTAATTCATTTGTATAAATTACTTCACTGTTTCGATTCAGTGGATAGTCAGCATGTAATGGTCGAAGACAACAGACTTGGTAAGGCAATGTTTATTTCGAAATTGGTGTCTCTACATAGCGAAATTGTGTACATTTTATCTTTAGATCACCATTTGCACAGATCTTACGTGTTGTGCTACTTCTCACCTTCCTTCAAATTGTTTTTCTTTGTGTTCCTTTCACATCTCCCATGTTTCTCCGCAATACTGAACTATTTACTTGCTCTGACGTGAAATCTATCTCCCTGCTATTTGATGTTTTTATGTCGATGAACGTATCTTCCTATACTACTGGTAAATCTCATGAGTAGCACGTGCCACAAGCATAAATATTTCTGTCTTATACATCTTTCTATCCTTTTGATCATAAAGCTGTCAACAGTTTAGAGTGAAAAGACCATTTTTAAAGTTCTTTTGTCAATGTAACATATTCGATTGTTTTATCCATCTAAGGAATATAGAATTCCTTACTGTAAGACACATACTTGTGAATGGATGGTTGACACTTTTTGTTGTGATAACCAGACTGTTGAATTTGTTAGCTATTGATGAATTAGTAAAAGTGAAGGTACTATTGTTTATATTGTCAATTATTCGTCTCTTGATGATATCAGATAGTTGGAGGCGATCGGCAAGAAGCCTTGGACCTGGGTTTTGTGCTAGTTAGCACTCATCAGCAAGGCGTATCTGCAACCTTGAAGGAACTCATATCTCTTCTGAGATTCGAACCCGCGTCACCCAATGCTGCAGTCAGAGACGTAACCACTGAGCTATTCGGGCTCGTCATTGACCTCCTGTAGGACTGTAGTCTCTTGGATTCAAAGTAGAACATAAGGCTTTAGAATCACACCACTATTTTATTCTGTGCTCTGCAGTCTTCCTTAGTCCTCTCCATGGTTGGCCATAAGGTTTCATTTCGTCCCCACGCGAACTCCTCCATGTCCCCCTCATTTCGTATTCGTGGTCCATTTGAGGCCTTGGTGCGTGATGTGTGTCTCAACGGTCTTCTCTCAGCATTAGTGTTAAATAGAATTCAGACCTCCACATTGATTTCAGAGTAATAAACGCCTGTCTTGCCTTACCGATCCTTACTTTGACATCCTCATTCGTTCAGTGAAGTCACCAGAGCATCTGTAAAATTTATTGCAGATTTATCAAGCTACTTATATTATTATTATTGGTAGTAATTGATACTCTTATTACCTTTAGATTAATTTTGATTGTATATCATTTTGATTTGATTTTATCAGGAGAATGAAAAAGACAAAACAAATCTGTATGTAACAAATCTTCCTCGAACATGGACTACAAAGGATAGTGATCAGTTGAAGGCTGTATTCGAACGATTTGGTCATGTACAATCTGCTTTTGTTATGATGGAACGATTAACAAATAAAACAACTGGTAAGAAAGATAAATTTTGATCTAGGAAAATATCATCATCATGTTATTATCATTACAACTATTATTAACAGGGAATATGGGAGATACATGCTACTGATAATCTGCGTGTTAGTACTTATCGACTGATAGTACGAAATAAAAGTGACATTGTGTGAGGCCAGGTCCGCACTGAGATTTGTTATGAAAATTTGTCGGTGACATAGATAAAATCGTGCCATTTGTCACCAAAAAATTGGATGGCATTCATCATGTATTTGCAATTGAAACAACATAATCATAGCATGATTCTTTCGACTATCATAGATACATTTTTGCGAGTTTGACCACGGATTGATATCATTTAGAGAACGATTGAAAACCAGCCACAGGGAGTACTGCCAGACAGCTGTTTCATCCTTCTAGTTTGGGAATTATCGGCAGTACGCACCCACTGGGGTTCGAATCCAGGACCCTCCGGTTACAAGACAAGCTCGTATACCATTCAGCCACCGGGACCCGATTCCTCAATGGCCCATGAATTCTAACTTCTACCAATTCGTGATTTAGCGCGATCACCAACCAATGTCGTCGGTGGGACACTCATCGTCACACTTGACTAGATGGACCTCACTGGTCACAACTTCTCACTAGAACTCTAGCAAACTTCGTCCTGTAGCAAGTAACCAGTGAGCAAAACAATAATTTTCAAGAGTTGGTTTGTAAGGATTAGATTTATTTTTCGAGTCTGACCATGGATTGATAACAGTTAGAGAACCACTGAAAACCAGTTAATACTGGACAACTGTTTCATCCTAGTTTGGTAATCGCGTTAAAATCACAAATTGGCAGAAGTTAGAATCCATGGGCCATTGAGGAATCGGGTCCCAGTGGCTGAGTGGTATACGAGCTTGCCTTGTAACCGGAAGGTCCTGGCTTCGAACCCTGGGTGTGGGTGCGTACTGCCGATGATTCCCAAACTAGGGGGAGGAAACACCTGTTCAGTACTCCCTAGTGCTTTTCAATGGTTTTTTAACTGATATCAATCCGTGGTCAAGCACGAAAAACAAATCAAATCCTTACAAACCAACGCTTGAATATCATAGATACAACAATCACATGTATCTTGGTGGTAATGTGTTACGGATAATATGAAATGAACACAAGACGACTGTGAAGAAATTTCGAATATCTAATAATAATTTGTGTTCTTTTATATAACTGATTAAGACTACTTTCAGCGAAACAATCTATCAATATTGATTTACTTAAAGGTTTTGCAATAAGAGAGTTATTTTACACGTTATTGGAAGAGACAGAGTTGATCACTGATCGAATGCTTCAACAGTGTATTCATTTACTTCTTTTAAGATGATAATCTGTGAGTTTAAGAAGATTATATCCATTGAAAAATAGTCGTTCAAGTGACAAATAAATTCAAGGTAGGCTTTGTCATAAAATGAAATCAGTCGTTAGCAGACCAACAGAAATAGTGGAGCACCGGTTTGCCTGTTTCATTGATGACCAACTAATGATTGAATTCAGGATCTGTGGATTAAGAGTAGAGGAAATAATTACTCAGCCACTGACCTGGAGTGCACTGACTCTTGAAGTCTAACCGCTGTCAATGCACGATATAGCGATAAAACTAATTGTGTAAGATAGAACAAACATTGGTGCAGAATAAGTATGGAACGATTTGATTTCATCAGATCTATTCAGCTGCGTGTCAGCTATAAATATATATAAAATACAAATCAGTGTTATTATAATTACTCAGTTTTACGCTAGTTTGTCCGGGAAATATTCAAAAACGCACACGTTAAACTCATTGAATGTAGACACAGTTTATTATATTATATTATTATTCCCTTGAGTTCAAAGTAGAACATAGGGCTTCAGCAACACATCGCCATTTCATCCCGTTCTCTGCAGTCTTTGTTAACTCACTCCATGATTGCCCATAAGCCTTCACTTGGTCCACATACGACCTCCTCCTTGTCACCTTAGGAAGTCCCATTAAGGACCTGGGGGCTGGCTTGGTGCGTGATGTGTCTCAACGGTCTTTTCAGCTTACGTCTAGTCTGCCTTCATCTCCTCCTGCTTATTTGTTGGACAATTGGTTCTTGGTTGATTCGTTCCCAGGGTTCCTTGTTGCCTAATCCTTTCTGACTGGCCATCTAGTCTTCAGTATCAAGTAGCCTTCTGGGAATACTTTTCTGAACCTTTTAGAAGCAGTAACTTGGCATTGGTGTTGAATATCCGGTTTCTGTTTCTCATGGTTAGTGTTGCAGGTCTCTCAACTGATTTCAGAGTAATGAACGCCTGTCTTGCTTTTCTGATCCTGCCATTGACATCTTGTCATCTGTGTTGCCTAGTCTGCTAGTTCACTAGTTTACTAGCCTGTTCTAATCCAGCAAAAAGAGGGAAGGTTAGGCGTCTGGCTTATGATCCTACTCATGAATATCAATCCATTCACTATAGAATTTCAAAGCATGGCGAATAAGTGAATTTAATGACAGTCATACATGAATATTTTCGATTCTATTCAAGTGTTTAAATCATTTTTGTTGGAAATTGTAGGATTCACTGCCATGCCAATTAGTGCAGAAAAGTTACTGATAAGCTGTACTTTAATAATCGTTTTATTCGGATTTATAAATTAGTAACTGAATGATAATTTGTGAGTTTTTCATGCCTCAAGTATTAATAGAAATGTACCACTTATGTTTGCAAAAACAACCAAACAATTAGATATAATTACAGAGAACTGAAGTGTGTTGTCTTCATTTCATACAAACAAGTTGGATACATCCAGGGATAAACAGACAGGCAGGAATTATATATGATCTCTAAGATAATTATGTTCAAATCATAGTTGGCACTCTTCATTGTCTGTACAGTGAACTTTATCTCCGTCACTTCCGGTTATTTTGTAGATTTCGCCCAGAAAAGTTAGAGTTTTTTCATTATTCGGACTTAATGTTTGAATGTTAACTTACTCGCTAGATACTCTGGCAGTCATAATTTCTACCCATCTCGTGGACGACATTGATTTCCCAGAGGAGGATGAAATAGCTGTCCAGTTCTTCCTAGTATTGAGAAGATTTCTAGTTGATTTTGATTTTTAAAGAATGGTTACTGAACAAAGAATATTCTTTTCGATAACTTCATCATCAGGGAACATCTACCTGTTTGGTTGAATAAAGGTGTGGTTAGAATCATCAATAGCTCGATATTAGAACACCTGGTCCAAACCGGTCACAAAGCCAACATTGAAGAATCCTTCCCTATCATCTATCAGATACTAAATAAATTGCCAAAAACATCCAGGTACCACATACTCTAAACAGCTGAGGCCATTACGATTCGCCTGAGATAACCGGTGCTCTGTGTGCAGAAGAAGCAAGTTCAGCCAGCCACTACCACTGCCCTGGCTGGCGTTCAGTAGAGACTATAGATTGGTGATTTTCTATTATTATCTTTCCTAATTTCTCTGATATTCATTCAGTGTATTGTTATGTTGATGCTATCGAACTGTAATCCATTGATATCACTATTATTATTATTGATTCGATGTTATTTAAACAGTATTATTGTTGTTGATAACACTAATTCATTCACTATTATGTAGATATAACTGTAGAACCTGGTGATGAAGTTATCGAAAAGAATATTCTTTGTTCAGTAACCATTCTTTCAAAGAATTATATTTGAAATCAGTTAACTCTTGAGAAATGTCTAAAGTGAGAATAAATTATCGTCACTTTCGCAGTGATTTCACCAAATCCTTGCAAGACGCCTATTTGGGATAAACCAGTGTTATTTAGCTAATAATTAGTGCTGATTTAACACAATCAGACAAGTTTGTATTGTTATCAACAGGCTAGGTGACTTACCATCGTGATTTTCTTAGGTTTGACGTCAGCTGGTTAGAGGTTATGGGTAGGAAGCTCTGCTTACTGCCACTTGTCAGTATGGATAGGACCCTAGTGACTAATCATTGCATCCGTCATAGTAGTAACGTTCATGACTGCAGCCCTATATGGCGTAGGTCAGATCGCATGTGAGGGGAGATATCAATTCCTTCAAGGCTGCATTTTAGAAAATTAGTGATTATAACAATCTGAATAGCTTTTTCCTATAATCCTTAGGAATACAAACTAGAATTTCAGTTAGAAGAGAAATATTTACACATGAACTAAGTCTATTTAATTGATAATTCATATATTCAGAGAAGTTTATATGTTGAATTCTGTTACTAAACTGCAAGACCTGGTGTTAATTAATGAAGTTGTGGCCACGAGCTATATTCATTGTATGTGTTTGTATGTATGACCTAATGGTCTGTAGTTTCGTTGACATTCATGACTCATTAGTGAGAAAGGAATTGTCAGTATTCATGGACAACACAGCTCCACTTCAGTAACATACTTAGTATTGTATCATCACATGACTCGAAATTCCTTTCCTTTTCTTTTGTTCCCCTACCCCCATTTCCGTAATTTTCCATCATTTAGGTGTTGGTTTCGTACGATTTGTTAATGAACAAGATGCAGTGAATGCCTTGGAATCGCTGAAGTTAAATCCACTTACACTGCCTGAATGTTCTGTTCCAGTTGAAGCGAAATTCGCAGATAAACATAATCCTGACACAAGAAGACGACGGTATCCTGTGACAGCGGCAACTGCTGCCGCCGCTGCAGCCGCGGCCACAATGATTGCAAATGTCAATTACAACAGCCTCTTAAATTGTCCTTTGTATACAACTCCGAATGGTTTAACACTAACATCTCAGGATGCATTAGCTTCATTGCTGAATACAGGGCTGGTTAGTCCGTCTATTGTTAACAATCAAATAGCCAGTCTGTCAGCTTTGCATAAATCAACAACAGATTTTACATCAGGTATCAATACAGATTTATTGGGTAATTTTATTCAACCGGGTAAATTTTCAAATAATTTAGTCTGTAATAATACAACAACAAATAATGGTAATAACAATACTACCATCAATAATAATAACAATAGTAATGGTAATAATAATAACGGCTTGACGGCTGACTTCAATGGAACACATTCAGCGAATCATTGTGAGCCAAGTTTAGCTGCCTTGGCTGCAGCTGCCGCTGCAGCTTCAACAATATTCGGTGGATCACCAACACCGAATGGTTTTGTGAATAATTGTCTACGCTCAAATCATGCTGCTGGGGGATCAGCGTTAAACGGTGGCCTGTTATCAGCCAATCAGATTGCATTACTTGGAACTCCAGCTATTCCTTCACCAGATACAAAGTTATTTGATCCTAAGTAAGTGGAATTGTATGTGTTTTCGTTCACCTGTAGTTGTGTTGTACTCACGCTAGTTTGAGTTTCGTTTTTCAGTTGTTTGTATTTCTTGATGAATACTGTTCGTTAGCCATCTGTTACTTTTATTTCTGGAACATAGGGCTTCAGCCATGAACTTTCCAGTTTCAGTAACACCGGTGTATTTTATGGGGTGAGGCTGTCATCCTCGTACCCAGCCTTCCCTCTTTACAGGGCTTACTATCAGCTAATTGAGGTTTAGCAGTGCCTTGGCCAGGAGTCGAACCGTGGACCACGTGAGTGATCAGTGAGTATTCTGTCTCTGGAATCACCATCTCTTACTGTTGTCGCTCTATTGTTGTGATTGAATCCTGTTCCAACATTAGGGGAAAACTCTGTTCAACTGTCATCAAATCAGAGTGAATATATTGGCATAAAGCATCTTTATTTAGGTTAATAACGATAAATAAACAGATCTGATTTCCTTTCATTGTTCATATTGAATACAATGCAATGAAATAACTAGTTCTTGTTGCAATGACCAATTTATATCAATCTAATTTGCTACTTGGTCATCATAATTAGGCTATGACAGTTTACGTCGATTGATGTCGTTTTCAACGAGATGTCTGTAACACGAACAAGTCCATGTCAAAACTTTGTCCTGTAGTACATCATGTGATGCTACCTTAGAAAACTTAACTACTAAATTATTTAGAGTCACTGCTGGGTGCGTCGGTGGCATAGCGGTTAGGACGCTCGCCGACCATGCACATGGTCCGGGGCTCGATCCCCGGCCGACGCACTCCTTTACCTCGCTAAGCCAGAAATAATGCTGGTGAAGCGGAAAGGTTGGGTATGAGGCTAGAAACCCCATCCTGTAAAATAAATACTTCTACAGAAACTTCAAGCCACTAGCTTGAAACCCTATGTTCCACTGGGGAACGTGAAAGAAAAAAAACTGCTGGGTAACTGCGAATCAACTGTAATACTGTAAATTACATCAACAGAAGTTGTTTCCTTTTGAGAATTAGCTAATAAAGGTTAATAAATAATCAATCAACGTCATCTGAACTAACTGTGATTCTTGTGTTTATAGTGGAAATGCCTCATTTACTCAGGTTATTGCCATGATAGATAAACAGTAGTACACTTGTACATGCTTTAGATAAGTACTTGTTAAATATTAAAATCTCTGTATTTGAATATCAAGCTGCATAATAGACTAATCCTTCTTGATAAGAAGAATAAAACAGAATAGACCATTTGTATGATAGTAAATAACAGGGGAATCTAGGAAATGCGTTTCGTCCTATTCGTGACTCGTCAGTAGGGTGTAAATTAAAGTGTCCATTACAACTATGGATATCAAACAAACTTTTCTATTCTACTCAGCAGGTGATGATAATTTACATATAAATCAATTAGTTGGTGTATCTTGTAGCTGAACAGCAAAGCATCAATTCTAAGTACATATGAAGAAGTTATAATACGATTGAATGACTGAAAGTCTTGAGAATGTGTGTAAACTACTGTAGTGAACAGAATACATGTCAGTGACAATAATAATTATTATAATGCACTAGAACTCACAGAAAGTGATGTTACAGGAAACCTGCATAACCGTCTTAGGAAGGAAGAAGAGACAAGACAAGGAATGTCTGTCTACGGACCCATGGAAGCTAATAAATGAGAGATGGATGGTGAAACAAAAGGTGAACCAGTACAGAGATGAACAACGAAAGCAGAAGTTGAGTTTGGTTCACAGCAGACTGAACAAAAGAGTAAAGAAGGGTGCTAGGAAAGACAAAAGACAAAGTTCTACAATCCACTGGTAACTGAAAAAACTGCCTACCTATTGAAAGTTGGAAAAATGAAGGTAGAATTCCAAACTAAAACTGTTTTTTTGCCCATAGCTGACTACATCGTAGTACAATCAATCATAGTATGACATAGCCATTTTACTCCCTTCTTGTTTGCTCATTGATTTATTTTTGTTTGTTCCAGCAATAACCCGTGATTTCGCATTTCCTTCAATGATGAAAATTTGTTTATTTGTATAATAAATTTAAGATAGTCAAGAGAACTGTGAATACTATTCACACAATCGGTTAGAGTAAATAAATCAATTTGTTGTTTACGTGTAAATGTGACATATGTTAATTGTTGAACAAGTTCATTCTAACAGGAAAATACTTTGAGAGTCGTCTGATTAATTGTGAAACTAACTGGCAATATCCATGGGCATTTTTGCTTGCCTCACCATTCAGATTAAAACAAAGTTTCAATAAACTAGAATATAGAGACATTTATTCCAATGTATTTTAACAGCCTGACACTATGCTTAATACTATTAGCGATATGAAATCATTTAGAAGCAGAAATTACTACTTACTTGTTATTTGCCTGATATTTAAGTGGTACCCTTGTCTTTCTTTTAAAATGAAGTGTTGTTCCCTTCTGTTTTATGCATACTTGTTGGAATTTCCATACTTTTAATCAGTTTACTGTTCTATCACATTCAGTATTGTTTCTGTTACCTAGCGACCAAGTTAGTGATCTGCTGAAGTGGAAATCTTCTTCAGTTTGATAATGACACTGGAAACCTCTAAGTCACTTTGACAATGAAGCGTTCTGAGATGTAGACATCCTGCTTCACAACAGAACAACATTCACTTGTAGATTATTGTGATGACATTTGTCTGAGTTATTCTTGTCTAAACAGAATAAAAAGCCATAATGTGTACGTGTGATACACTACTAATGAAGTATAAAAAGGTTAAGCTTAAATAGTTTGATCTCAAATGCGACTGTATATCTCTGCCACAAACCCCTTAAGTTTTAGTCATCAAGTTACCTTTCAAGCACGTAGAAATCATTTCACTGGAACAATTTTTAATGTACCAGGTGGTGAGTATATATATTCATTGGGTGATGGTTCACGATACTACCTAGTTGCTCAAGCTAAAGTAGATTCGAGCTTGAGGCCTATTGACGGAAAATCGAGTACTTAAAGTAACTACAAACTACATCTCTTGAGTCCTCTGCCTAAGGGTGGTACTTTATTTTAACCCAATTGAGTTCGATATCTGGGATTGATGAATTTCAAATGGTAAATGAAGTTATTTGATAAGTATTTGATTGGCAGTGGTATTCAAGATCTACATTTCATTGTGTCTGCGATTTCCTGGACAGAAGTTCTGTCGAAAGATGTAGTTAAATGTTCCTTCAGTTTTCACATCACAGTTTAATAATGAATATATCAGATGAATTTCAAATGCCTTGAAATATTACTGTAAACCTATTTCTCTATGTTGCGGATGCATTTCATCAAGTAGTCAGAAAAAAGAGACTTTTCTTGGTAAGATTGTGAAACTTTGTTAACTGGAATAACATACTATTATACTGTTGACTTATCTAAGTAGTTGAAAGCTGTTCACGGTAATTAGTAGTGCTTGCTTGAGCAGTTTGCAAAGCTTTTCTATCTACACACCTCACACTGAACCATAGAAATTAGTATCAAATCAGTGGGTTGTGTTTTCTTTCAAGTGGAACATTAAGCTTCGGGCTTGTTTTCCTGCATAGTGGGGTTTTTAGCTTCATGCTCCCAACCTTCCTTCTCTCAGGGTTAAATATATTAGCTAGCAGTGCGACAGCTGGGATTAGAATTCAGACCTCCCATATGGTAGGCCTGTATTCTACCAGTGAAGCACCAGTGAACGTGGTTCAATAATGGTATTAGAAAGCATTTCAATTATTTCTTCTAAATAAGTTCACTTACATGCTTCCAGTTTAAGTTTTCTTCCCAGATGCTCTAATCACCAAGGTGACTTAAACATTTGTTAAAGTTAATTTTGTATTTCCCGTTGACTGATGATATTGAACCGAGATGTTCAGTCTTGACATGTTGGCGCCTAGTACGAACTCTTCGATGGTTCCTGAGAATTAACTTGGTATTTGGTGGTTAGTGACAAGCAGTGCAATCCAAAATGCGCACTTCGTTTTGGGTTCGAGCCCCAGTGGAAATACACCATCACTTAGTGGCGACTGTAGGTCCATCTAACTGAAGAGTCCCACACAGGATGAAATGTGCATCTTGGATTCTATTATTCTTCAATTAATACCACGTATTAAACATGATTCATTTTGTGTTTGTTTTCTTTTTTTTTATTTGGTGTTAATAATAGTCTGTATGGATGTTCTTTATACGGAACTGAATATTTTCGCCCACAACAACAACAGCAGTCCCATCAGCAATCACAACAGCAACAGCAGCAGCAACAACAACAATTGCTTTCTGCTGCCATGGCGGCAATGGCTAATCCAGCCTTACAAGGATGTGTTTATCCAACTACAGCAGATTTAAATTCCTTTAATACAACTTATCATAATTTATTGAATTCCCATAATACAACAACAATACCAATGCAAACTGATCCTGTTGGGAATTGTTTAACTGGTACAGCTGATAGTATTGGTTTAAGCGGTACAATCTATGCTAGTCATCAACAACAATCTCAACAATCTCAGCAATCACAACAGCAACAACAACAACAGCAACAGCAGCAACAGCAACAACAACAAAACAATTTACTCTCATCAAATCCAATTCCAGGTTCATTAACACATATTCCTGATTCACTGACTAATTCTAGACCAGATAGTGGATTATATCAATGGTTAATACCAAGTCATATAATTAAAAATGGTAATAATGAATGTCGTGTAACAATACCATCACCAGCTTTTTCATTGAATCCAGCTAATCATTTAATTGGATTGGATAAAGCTAATAGGCATATGCAAATGTTATTATAAGTAAGTATAAATGATTATTATTAATACCTTTTTAAAAAGGATTGATTATGTGATGGTTTTAATATATTTATGCGTTGAAGTTTCTGTAGCATTTCGGTTAGGTTTTGCGGGTAGAGTTGCTAGCACCACGCCCCAACCCTCCCTCTTTATCCGGGCTTGGGACCGGCTAGAAAACTAGCAAGCTAGTAATCTAGGCGAGGTTCTTCTATACGGATCAGAAACTTGACGGGTCACGAAGAATATTTCCAACAGGTTGCAGACCTTTATCAACAACTGCCTTCGCTCTATACTCAAGATCAGATGGCCGGAAAGAATCACCAACAAGAAACTATGGGAACAAACAAAACAAGAACCAATCGCACAGCAAATGTGCAAGAGAAAGTGGAGATGGATTGGAAACTCGCTGAGGAGGCCGCTGGGTGACATTGCGCGTCAGGCCAATGCTCGAGTGGAACCCGAAAGGGAAGCGGCGAGTGGGACGTCCAAGGGTGACATGGAGGAGATCTTGTGAAGAGGATTTGAAACACTATGGATTAACATGGATGCAGGTGAAAAGTACAGCAGAAGAAAGAAGTGGAGATGTGCAGCTGAAACCCTATGTTCCACTAGGAACCCAAGGGAACAATAATAATAATATGATGGTTTTGGATTATTTACTACTCAAATGACAAAATAAGTAATCTTTAGGATTTGGATTTAAGGTTACTTATGTCAGTAGAAATTATTGTTTGTTTGGCGATTGAAATAATAATCTGCTTGGGTCGAGACATTAGAAGAACAAAGTAGTAGTGTAACAACAGAAGACAAGGGACAGGCAACAGATCGTTTATTAACGAAGTCAAAGCATATTTATATATTTTCATGTACATTATTATAGTTTAGTTAAACAAACAAACACAGTCTTCTGATTGGTTGTTTCTCACTTAAAGTTAATCTTTCATCTCTTTGTGACTGTTTCTTGAATGTCAGATCATCTATATGTTAACTGTATCCGCCTACGCAAAGTTGGCTGTGGTCGGTTTTTGAATCAGTCTTGTTCATATTTTCTCACGACTAATCTTGAGAACGTAAACATTGACGTTAATTACTGTCTACCAATTTGGCTAGTAGACAGCTCTCACCACAGTAGGATGCCTTCTTGAGCTGACTAGATAGATGCAGGTCAACTGGTGATCTCTTCTATTGAAATCAGTGAGAAAATTAACCACTGAAACGGTGCACAGTATGATACTGACGTTTCAGAGCATACACAACATCTATAGCTCACTCAGTGTGATGTAACGGGATAACATTGTCCAAGAACACCTTCAGAACAACACCACGAGTCTTTTCGAAGGTGAAGCCACAGATATATTTTACGCCACCATGACGAACAGGATAGGGAATAGCTGACTTTGCAATACCTTGGATTTTACCTCAGGGAACTTTGTAGTGACACTTGGCCTCTCCTTTTTCAATCCTGTGCCAAAAAAGTGAATACTTTTCAAAATGAATTGCTTAAAACACACAGAACATAAGATATATTTTTAGCTAGACCTAGAATGTATGACCCTATTAAGTTAAATAACCTAGAAAAAGGCTCGGCCATTGCAATACTTTCACTCGCATATAATCGCACAACGAGGTAGGACGGGGGAGGGGCGTACTAATCGCCCGACATTTGTCCATTAAATCAACATCAAACACCTACAATCAAATTGACTCAACGCTTTTATTGAATAGGTAGAAAATAACAATAAGAACAGTAGGGAGTTAGGCTATATAAAACAAGTTATCAAGTTGTGTGAATACATTGAATATGATTATGAGCAACAGAATGGGCTAGAAAATCTAATCTAGAATTATATTCCACCATAGTGCCTAAATTCTACTCTGCCACGGAAACTTTAGTTATATACATATCTTCAGGTATTGGTTTGTAGGGATTTTGTTTGATTGGTTGGAGGATTTCATCATGAGCTGACATCATTTACAGAACCATTGGAATACCTGCAGGGAGTACTCGACAGCCAGCTGTTTCGTCGGCCTAGTTTGAGACTCTTCATTAGTACGCACCCACCGCCAGGGTTCGAACCTAAGACTTTCTGGTTACAAGGTGAGCCAGCTCGTAGACCATTAAGCCACTGAGACCAGATCCAATAGTCAGCCTATGAATTCTGCCAATTCACGACGTAGCGCAACCACTTAGCAATGTCTTCTTCACTGAGTAACTGTCAGTTCATGATGAAATCCTCCAACCAATCAAACAAAAACATCCCGATACTTGAAAATTAATGTAACGCTCACTAGTGACTTGCCCTATTCAGGCAGTTACCTGGGCTTCTAGTGAGAAGCCATGACCAGTAGTGTACAGCAGATCGAAGGTGAGGACACTTATACACTGATGTTCATTTATCAATGAAATTATTGATTTGTGATTGTATTAGTTGTTTATAAAATCTTATCTCCGCTCTTAGTCACTTCATATAGAAAGAAGATAAGTAAATCACGAGTTAAGCATACTTCGAATAAATCAATCATTTGTTTTTTGTTCCTACGATTATGATATATAAACATCCACATATTATACCCACACACATATATACAGTCAGTCATTCACAGACTTACACGGAACACGTGTTCCTTATCGTAGATTCATTTGAAGCACTGATTAATACAGTGATAAATCTAATTCAATCTTCGAGTACAGTATAGACATACATAGCTTGCTGCACAAACACACACGCACGCACGTACGCACGCACACACACACACAAAGTATGATACTAGTTCAAAATTCAAATGATTAATCCAGAAATTATGACTACTTTATCTCATCTATTTCCTTTTTCTTTCTTTCCTCTAATTTTTTACAAATGATTAATGAGTATCAGTTGGATTAAATTTTTTGAAGAGAGATTTTGTCTACTGACGTTTGTTCACAGTAGCTTAGCTGTTTAATTTAAATTTTTATATGCGCTTGAATATTTACGCGAATAAGCACGGACACATACACACACACAAACACACTTATGACGCACAGTCATTTACGGAAGGACAACACGAGAGAAATTATCAGTGGTACTATTATTATTAATATTTATCTGAGGATGGCAATTAAAAATCTTCATTTCTATGATTTATACACTTTGTTCTCCAGCTAATTCTTCTCCCATCACGCTGTTCGTCTTGTTGTCTAGCTTTGTCAGCTTGCCAAGAATAAGACGACAACATGACAACAATAATAATAACAATAACATCGCCTTCATCCCGATGAAAAACGCATTTAAATCTAAAATAATTTTAGGGATGCAAAAATGCATTGGGGGGGGGGGAAACGTTTTTGTTGTGTTGTTTGAATGAATTAAAAAAAAACAAACTATATCATCAAATAGTTGAACAGTGATAAGAATGTCAATAAAATAATCCTTAACTGTCGACTTTTTCTTCTGATCTGTTTGTTCTACTCTGTTGTATTCACATTTGTATTAGGCATTCTTGTGTCTTAACATTGAGATGTGCGTGTACTCATATATGCACACACACACACACACGCACAAGCGTACGCACATCCATCAACAGACATGCAATGCTGATTCAATTTTATGCCCAATTTTTTTTTGTTATTGATGTTTTAAGTTATGAGAAGGATATATTTCCCAAGTGGTGTTTTTCTATCCCTCAAAATTAATTGTGGTTAAAATTGTCACTATAAAACCATTAACATCATCATCATCATCAGAAGCATGAGTTATCGATTAAGGCGAGAATTGACGACAATTCAACAATTTGAGTCGTTTTTTTTTGTTTTTGCTCATAATGTGACTGAATTTAACAACATATATAATGAGAATTACCAAAAATATTTGAGGATTATTGAACTTTATGGTCTGATATCAGTTAGAGAAGCATTAGAAAAGACGTGATAATAATAAATATAACTGTTTCTTAATTTGAAACTATTGAGTAACACTCACGCTTAACACTACGATAGTTATTAGATTCCTAGTTTGTAGTTGAATTGTGTAGCATACTCGCCTCACAAGCTGGTGTGAGATCATTGGGTGTGTACTGCTGAAGAGTTCCAAACTAGGACTAAATACTTGTTCACTACTCTTTGGTTTCCTATGATTCTTTAACTGATGCCGGTTGGTGACAGAATCTATCTTGAAATCAGTTATATTTCCATAATCGGATACTTATGATCTACTATTTTTATTATTAAATTAGCGAATCACCAAAATCATTTCTTAACAGGCTTCCATTAAAGGCTACCACCCTCGCTCGATACTGAAGATCAAATAGCCAGCCAGAAAGGATAAGCTACAAGTAACCCTGACAGGCAACTAACAAGTCAACAAATTAGCACCCAATAAATATGAAGGGAATAAGGGACATCCGCTGGGGAGAACTTCAAGTAACATCACACGCCAGGCCCTGGACTGGGGAACGATGAGTTTGGTGTCAGAGAATGTGACATAGGTGAAATCATGCAAAGACGGAATGAAAGCTTGTAATCAGTTGTTGAGCCTACTAGAAAGCGTAGTGGAAAATAGAGTGAGGTGTAGATGTGTTTCTGAAGCCCTATGTTTCACATGGAGCCTAAAAAATCAATAATAATTATAATAATTCGATAACTGAATTCAGTTAAGAATGTCATGACTATCCACTCAATGTATTCATCACATGTGGATCCAGATGGATTAATACAACGCCATTGAATCAAAATCTGCGAATAATTCATTTAAATGGAATAGCATGCACCACACTTGGAATAACTCAACTAGTTTGGTTCTCTATCACTGCACTGATGTCCAGTGTCATCCTGACAACTAACCAACATCTTCTATTTCATTGCATGGAGGATTTCATCATGAGCTGACATCAGTTAGAGAACCACTGGAAAACCAAATGGGAGTACTGGACAGTTGTTTCATCTTAGTTTGGGACTCTTCATCAGCACGTAACCACCGGGGTTCGAACCCAGGACCTTCTGGTTACAAGGTGAGCGAGCTCGTAGA